TAAAACCGCTTTTTTTATTCAATTGAGACATGTTTGTTTGTTGTGGCGACAGCTCGGGCTTAGAACCAATAACCACAGTCTGTACACGGAGCAGTAACGGATGATTGACTTCTACAAGAGGTTGATTGGTTGTGATTATTTTACAACAGATCTAGAATACATGCTTTTAACCATGTAGTCAAGGCCAAACATATTTTATAAAACACATGTTGTAGATTTTTCTGTTCGACGAAAAGAAAGAGAAACTGACGGTGTAAAAACAGCAGTGATTTTTTTTTTAGGCTCGAAAGTAGAAGACGACATGGATCCAGCTCCTGAGTCCTGGACGCCTCACTTTGGATTAGATTAGATTAGATTAGATTAGATTAGATTAGATTCAACTTTATTGTCAGTACCATGTTCACGAAATGCAAAAGTGCAAGTTTCAGATGATTTTTACAACACTAAGTAATTAACATGTAATTATATGAAACTTCTACTGCTAATATTTACATTTATGACATTATTATTTGACATTAACATAATTTACTGGTTTGAGATACAAAGATATGTGTGTATATATAACCAAAGCTGCTATAGCTAATACCGTAATGACATTATTATATGCTTACCCCAGTGTGAGAGGCCAAGATTCATATAAATGCATGTATATAAAACTATACGAAAGCTGCTGTTGCTAATATATACATTTATGACATTATTATTATAGAAAATGAACATGCTTTACTAGGGTGAAAGACCAAGAGTCATAGACCAAGAGGCCTCTCTGGTGCTGTCCACAAATGGTTCACTTCTTATTTAACAGACAGATCCTTCATGGTAAGTTTGGATACCTGCTCCTCTCAGGTCCATAAAATCACATGTGGTGTGCCCCAGGGTTCCATTTTAGGTCCAGTCCTTTTTAACCTGTACATGCTCCCTCTTGGCGGTGTCATCAGGAGACATGGAATTAACTTCCACAGTTATGCAGATGATACACAGCTGTACATCTCCATGTCTCCTGACGACACCAGGCCAATGGATGCTCTTTTTAACTGCATTTTAGACCTGAAATCCTGGATGGCAGAAAACTTTCTCCAGCTCAACCAGGACAAAACTGAGGTTTTAGTCATCGGCCCTGAGGCCCAGAGAGAGAAACTTTTACCGAAACTCCAATCACACTCTTTTAATCCATCATCACAAGTGAAAAACCTGGGCGTAATCTTTGACTCTGAGCTGAATTTTATTCCTCACATCAAGAACATCACAAAAATAGGTTTTTATCATCTAAAGAACATCGCCAGAGTCCGCCCCATTCTCTCTCGGGGCAACACGGAGACGGTGATGCATGCTTTTATCACCAGTCGCATTGACTACTGTAATGCCCTGCTCTCTGGTCTTCCCAAAAAGAACATTTCAGGTTTACAATTACTTCAAAACTCGGCCGCACGTGTCCCGACTAAGACCAGGGGGCGGGACCACATTACACCGGTTTTAAAATCGCTGCATTGGCTCCCCGTGTGTTTCAGGATCGATTTTAAGGTTCTTTTAATGGTTTTTAAATGTCTTAATGGTCTTGGGCCTTCTTATCTTTCAGATTTGCTTTTATCCTATGAGCCTTCCCGGCCCCTGCGCTCCTCCGGCAGCAGACTCCTAACCATCCCCAAAGTCAGGACACACACTCACGGCGAGGCATCTTTCCAGCACTACGGCCCCGTCTCTGGAACAGTCTGCCGGAGGAGCTCAGGGCCGCAGAGAACGTTCATATTTTTAAGAGTAGGCTCAAGACGCACCTTTTTAGAGCAGCTTTTGATTAGTATTTATTATTTATTATTGCTTTTTAGTACATCTATTTATGTTTTTAGACGGATTATATTTTTATTTATTTTTATTATTTACTATTTTTAATTATTTATTGTATCTACCCATTTACTATTGTTATTATCAATATTAGGCAGCTGCCATTTTTCTTTTTATTTTCACATTTTATTGTTCTACTTTCTATTGTAACATTGTATTGTTTTAGTGTCCCCAGTGTTTCCTCTGGAGGAGCCCTCTGCACTGAGAGCTGGGGTCTGCTGTGGCTTCGGGGGACTGGCTCTTGGATCCGGTGGGGGTCTGGGGCCTCCTCTCTCCTCTGGGTCCTATGGGGTCTGAGTCCTGGGCCTGGTTGGGTCTGGGGCCCCTCTCTCCTCTGGGTCCTGTGTCGTTGCCTGTGGCTGCAGCCGGCTCTCTGCTCCTGGTGCAGATGGCTCCTTGGATGACGCTTCTTCAGCCGGTTACTTCTGCTCCCAGCCCCATTTCTTTTTATTGTTTTACCTATTTTACCTGATATGACTTTATACTTGTGTATATGTGTGTGTGTGTGTGTGTGTGTGTGTGTGTGTGTGTGTGTGTGTGTGTGTGTGTGTGTGTGTGTGTGTATTGTATATATAATTATAAATGTGATTTTGGGGGGTCTGTGGGGAGGAGGGTTTAGGGCTGGGCATGTTGGATTGTTTTTAACTAAACTGTAAAGCACTTTGTGTTACACTTTTTGTATGAAAAGCGCTTTATAAATAAAATTTGATTGATTGATTGAGATGTGCATGTATTTAATAAAACTGTATGAGGGCTGTTATTGATAATATATACTGTACTGACATTATTATATAACATTAACATGCTTTACTAGTGTGAAAGTCATAGATATGTATATATATTTAAACTGTATGAGGGCTGAAATTGCTAATATATACATTTATGACTTTACCAGTGTGAAAGGCCAAGAGTCATAGATGTGCTTGTATTTAATAAAACTGAATGAGGGCTGTTATTGCTAATATATACAGTTATGACATTATTATATAACATTAAGATAATTTACCAGTGTGAGATAAAGATAGTGAGTCCAGAGAAGAGGAGGACCGACATTACTTCCCACAAACGTTTCTCTACATAATTCTCACATTCTTGTCTGTTATTGATGTTTGTTTTTCGTCTTCTGTCTCTTCTAACAGTTCAGGGCTCCACCTTTTGGCTGTTTTCACATTCATGCAAAAACCTCGGCCGTGGAGAGTCTTATACGATCGTGTTTTTGCAGATGTGTGAAAGTGGATCACGAAACAGAGAAAAAGTCAGAGAATACATTCAGTATTCTGTGACTGAAGGCGTTTGTTCTCCCCATCAGTGCGAGAGGCAGAAATCACCCTCGCCGTCTACATGTATAACGAGTGGAGAATACGTCGAAATTTAAAACACTTTAGCCATTTTTTTGGGGCAAAACAACCTCAATTTCACGATACATTATTTTTAGCTCATCACGATAATGTAAAAGGAACAGACATCACGAGTTTACAAAACCGATTTTAAAACTAATACTTTGAAAATACGTATGATATTTATTATTTATATATATATTTGGTGGTGCCTCATGAATGGTATTGATACGCTGTTGCCATGGGAACACCAATAATCATATTTTATTAACTGAAAATGAGAAGAAAGTGGAGACAGAGTGGGGGCTGGGTAGTTTTATCATAAATGGTAAGTTTAGTGGTAAATGGTAAATTTAGTTGTTATTTCTGTTGGATAATTTGACAGTGTATGGTCATGGATCCTGCTCAGATACTACAGGTGTAAATTAGCAATGCTGCTAAACAACCTGGTACAAGGCATCTCTCACCTATCGGCCGATGTTTATTGTACGCTCCTTGTAAATATTTATATAAAAATCATACCATATCAAGAGTATAACAATTAAAAACACGGAACAAAGAGATTCAAAATGTCAGGACTGGTTTAAACTTCACTGATCGATGGTCTACCTCATGTAAACAGTGTGTTATGTGTTAATTTTTAAGTTAAAAACACCCAAAAAATAATAATATTGAAGTCACTAATGCAGCTATTCATGTAATTACTATTTAGGAATCAATTATCAAATATAAGTATTCATAATTTAGATTGTATTTAGATTTTTATCTGCATGTCTATATTTTTACTTTTTTTATAACTTGTTTGCACCGTGAGCCAAAGCAAATCCCTAGTTTGTGATTTCTGCTACTTTTCAGAGGCAATTAAAAAATAACTGATTCTAATAAATCCTTAAAAAAGTGTGTTAAAGCAGTGGTGTGCGTCTCGTTGTCTCTTGGTGCCTGGATTAAAGAGTTACTTTCTCTGTACGATTATGACATGGCGTTTAGTGAAATGTGAAGTAGCGCAGTGACATGTGACCAGGAAGCTGCACTTGCTGACATAACTGACGTGAGGAGAGCTTCTGGAGCGCGAAACACAATTAGAGAGCCATTAAAATAATGCATCAGAGAAAGCAGGCGGGAAGGAAAGCGTGTCGCTGTCGTGTAATGTGTTAGAATCAGTGTGAAACCAAGGGCAGGGGCCAAACACATCAGCTTTCTAGTTTTTACACACGTTAACTGAAGTGACACTCAGGTTAAAGGGTTTCTGAGCCATGTGCCCGACCGGCTCTGAAAGGAAAGCACTGGAGTTACAAGGTCTAACGAACATTGGAGGTATTCAGATTTAGAAGCAGAGTGGCCTGAACTTGTGGTGAGACGAGAGCGAGGGATCAGACTGTCCGTGAGCAGTTGTCAAGAGGCATCATGTTAAACTGGACATAAGCAGCAGAAATAAGGACGGCTTGTCACAGTGTGTGTCCGGCGGCGCGGCGTGACACAGCTGCGCGCTCCGAGCTCAGCCGCGGCACAGATGTGAGCGGCTGGGATCACTCTGACACTCTGCTTTTGCTTTGGTAAAATGTATTCAACAAAATCTTAAACTCTGACTCATGAAGATGTGCAGATGTGAGTCTGCGAGGAGTGAGGAGGAGGATCATTCTCTGAAGCAGAAAGTCCAGAGTGCGAGAACTTAGACACTTAAATGATTCACAAAGAACATATGTTCTTTAAAAGTTAGAAGAACATTGTTTTTGGAAATAAATAAAGCTGTATGTGCAGCACCAACACAACAAACACCATATCCTTTACATCAGTCTGAGAGCGAGAGGACGTGAGGAGACTGACCTGTCCGTTCTTGCAGAGGTCGGCCCACATGCTGGTGCCGTCGCCTCCTCTCATCAGGACGTGGTAAATGAAGAAGTACGTGCCCGGGATGGAGCAGATGAACTTTCCTGCCACTCCGTCGTAGTTGTTGCCCAGGTTTGTGACCACATCGTCAAACTTAAGGATCTCGTAGCCTTCGTGTGGGTTTTTAAGTCCGGCGTAAAAAGCCACGCGTGGGATGGTGTTGTAGGTGGCCGTACTGATAGCTCCATTTCCCCCCAGCCCCAAGATCCCTGTCCGCTCTCCTCTGTCACCCGGGGGGCCCACTGGTCCCGGAGGTCCAGGCTCTCCTGGAGGTCCTGGAGGTCCAGGTTTGCCCGGTCGCCCGGGCTTTCCCTGAGGCCCCTGCAGCAAGGTGGAGGGCGGCAGAACGTTGCTGTTGTCGCTGAGAGCCTCAGCCTCCGCCTGCAGCCCGGTGGAGCTGGTGGAGCTGGGGGGAGTGCCCTTGTTCAGGAAGGGGTCACACACCATGCGGCAGGTGCCCAGCATCTCGTAGTGTCCAGCGTCTGTGCTCACGGAGCTCACAAGGACTGGGATGAGCACCACCAGCACCAGGACCAGCATCACCCCCACAGCAGCGGCCACCAGGGTCTTCCTCCCGATGCTGAGTCGGGGAAGGGGCTGCGCTGCCAGCGTGGCTCTCCCGGGAGCAGAAATGGTGACTGGTTAAAGTGGGGACCCTGCCACCAGGAGGAAAGGGGACCCGCAGATCCCAACAAAAAGTTGAAAAAGAGTGACGCTGAGCGAAAGTGACAAAGAAAAGCACATGCACTTGTGACGGCAGAGTCCTCCTTCTAAGTTCAAGTCACAAGAACATTCAGGCAGCGCAGAGAAGTACAAGTGGAGGCATTCAAAGCACTCGGACTTGTGAGCAGAAGAAACAAGAAGGATGCAGCGGAGCCCAGAGGAACAGGGCGAGAGACAGACAAGGAGAGGGGGAGAGAGAGAGAGAGAGAGAGAGAGAGAGAGAGAGAGAGAGAGAGAGAGAGAGTGGTGAGAAAGTAGCAGCCACCAGATCCCTGTCAGCGCGTGTGGAGGTGTGTGTGTGTGAGTGAGTTTGTGAAGCCGATTCTCTGGCTGGGCTTTTTATACAGCAATGGCAGCCCCTCCAAGCCCCCTCCCCTCGGCTCTCACATCCAGAGAGGCGGCTGCTCATACACCCCCTTTGTCTCACTCTGAGCAAGGACTATCATCACATTACAATGCTTTCTCTGCTAACGACCAAACTACTATTATTAGGAGAACATGCGCTGGTCCCCCTGAGGCCACTTATGGTACTGCAGCAAATCATGTAAATATGATTGTTTAGAACTAGAAATTCTTCATACTATAATCAGAAAATGACCATAATAATCCAAAATAAAGAAATTGTGTTGAATGCAATGTCTGGGCCAACATTTTGTTCATTTTAATTATAATAATATTAAATGTATGTACAACATCTACTTTTTTATCTTTTAGTAATTTAACAACGTTGCTCCTTCATCTAAACAATCAAAACAGACCTGGAGTTGATTTTCGCTCTATCCACGCTAATATCAGGAACCTCTGGCACAAACATGTCTCAGTCCTGTCATATCTTTCACTATGACATAAAAAAAATATTGCCCCTGAATTAGTTTTTGCAATTTATCTGGTGAAATTACGGTTCTTTCTATTAAATGTGGTTGCAACCGGTCATTTTCAAATTTGTAAATTACTGGCTGCAAAACTGGCTGAGAAAATCAACTCCTCCCTCTAGTGGTGGCATAGGGATTTACAGGTCAGAAGTATTTTATATATTCTTGGTGCGTCGCCATATATATTTTTTTCAACTTACAATTATATTTCAGAAAATGAAAAGAGTAAAAATATATCGCTTCATATTTTGTCTATGTAAAATTTTGGGTAAAACACGACTTCTTGACTTTTTTGTGGCAATTTTTTAACCATCGCTTGGTGGTGTTTGCAGCTGGTCATTTTCAAAAAAACTAAAAAACACATTTAACTTCTCCCTCTGGTGGCAGCAAAAATAAATACAGGAAGAATGCATGTTTTACCCCACAGACTTCAGAATATATACTTCTACTCAAGATATTATTTCAGATTTTATAACATCAAAAATGTCATTCCCAAAGGCACATGTGTGTTGTTTTGTCTCCATGTCTCTTATATACCGACCTTCACATTCCACCACCCAAGGCCAAAGACGGACTCTCTCTCATAACTCACAGATTCTCAGTTCACCAGTTGCTTGGCTCATCCCTCCCTCTACATGTCTGTCTCTCTCTCCTTCAGTCTACGGTGGTCTTCCCCTCCACCTCCCCCACCCACACTCCCCCTCTGACACGCCATATTGGACGAGGCGGGTCAGACTGACAATGTCCCTTTAAAAAGATCTGTATTGATTGATTATATTCTTCAAGGCCAAAGAAAATGCATCTTGGTCCGAGCTCCTTCCGTTCACTCGATCTTTGTTTCTGACATGCACGTGGAAAAACAAACCAGGACTTTTTCTAATTCCCATTGTTGGAAAAGAAATTGAATAACCCCCTTCCAACTGAATAGTTTAATGTTTCCGACTTCAAACTTGAAACATGAACGGTGAAAGTCCTCGGATTACATTTTTTGGGTTTGCAACAGGGTTTTCAGTTTGGTCGCCCCACCAAAAAAAACGGATGTTCAGAATAATTTTTGTTTTGTTTTTTTGTCTCTGTTTCTGTTTCTGATGCTTTGACGGAATGAGCTGCGGACGTTTGATACATAATTTATTTTTTACATGTCTACATTAAGAGATTCAGGAAACCAATTAAAGGAGCAGTATGTAAAAATGTGGCTAAAAGTGGTACTGCAGCCTCTCCCACTCTCCCTGACTCAGGTTGCCAGATATGCAGACGAATCCAGCTGGGACCATAACAGCTGAATAGACAAGAGTTTTGTCAACAACAAATCTATAACCAACACCTTTTTCACAAAGATAGAAATCCTGGTTTTATTCCTTTGCCACCTCTTTTTAGTTCCGCAGCCACATGGTACTTTACCAGTGAGATTAGCTTGACGCGTAAAACAGTGGAGGGCGGGACATCGAAATGAAAACAATAAGATTTAGGGGCTGAAAAAGTAATTCTGAAATCCAAATATCTCTGAACTTCTGTTATCAGTTAAAGAAGTATTAGAAAAGAACATGTTTTATTAATGCTTTTTAACAGATTAGGGCCCTTTAATGAGGACTTGACTTGAAAATCTTACATATTGCTACTTTAAATGTGAAACCAAACCAGCCTCATTCAACCCGAGTCTGACCAGGGGCCGTATTCCTAAAGATTCTAAGTGTCCTCTCAGAGAGCTCCTATCTTAACCTAAAAACTCCTAGCTAGGAGTCTTAGCTTAAAAGTTATTCCAGAACACTCTTAGAGAACTCTGAGCAAGGAATTGACAACAACTCTTATCTTAGTGAGGAGGCGTGGCCGACCCCGTTGCTAGGTATGAGTCATCATTTCAGACGCTGTGATTGGTTGATCCTAAAAGTTAGAGAAACCATATTTTTGATAATGGGCAAAATAAGGATCCTCTAATGGACAAACTCAATCATAGAATCTAATCTTAGGAATACTGTGTCATTATAAATAATCAGAAAAGGTAGAAAGTCAGATGTATTTACTAATATTGTCTAACTTACTGTTGTAAGTTTGACTTTTACACCACCACATTAGAGCTTGCTCAGCACCAATTTATCACACATATTTAACAAACGTATATAACATGAGCACTTTTATACAGCACTATATATATATATATGATATATATATATATATATATATATATATATATATATATATATATATATATATATATATATATATATATGATTATATATATAGATGATTATGATAACATTAGGATTAGTAAAGGCTGTGATACTGAAAGACGTAAAAGGAATTAAGGAAAAAATATTAATATAAGCATTTTATACATACACAAATCAAGTGCATGTTATTGTGAATGTCACTGTTGCATAGCTGTAAATACACCATGGAATAAACTAAGCTGTAGCAACCACACTATTTAAGTTAATTTAGAATGATAAATAGAGGGTGGGAGTTTAAAAGTATTAACTTCTTCACACTCCTTTTTGAACTGGATTGCTGTTAATAAAACAAAACTGTATATTTGTACATGATTGACTTTTAAACATGATTCCTGCAGGATCCAATCTGCAGCGTTTTACTGATTCACTGTCATCCAGTGTATAGAATATTTCTCCTGCCTCTACCGTCCACCATTTTGTCCTCTTAGGGAACTTTTAAGTTGCTAAAAGTCCTCTTCTCAACTCTTAAGGGATCTCGCCTTAGGAGCACTCTTAAGAGCTAGGATTCTTTAGGAATAGCTTTTTTCTTAACTAGAAGCTACTCCTCACTTTTAGGGGAAATTCTAAGAGTTGGTCAAGATTCTAAGAAAATTCTTAGAATTTGGCCGCTAGGAGCAACTTTTAGCACTAAGAATCTTTAGGAATACGGCCCCTGGTCTTTAAAACTTCACCAACAATGTACTTGTCAATCCTTTCTCTCGATTTCATCCGCACTCTTGCTTTGATCCGTCTGTGTTTGAAACCGTTATTCTCTAATCCATGACAGTCATTTTAGCTTTTGAGTTATAACCTTTTAGATGCTATAAGTGACACTTTACTGTGAACACACCCACGTAAAAGTGCGAGAAAATACCTAAAAAACAACATGGATGAAGCTCTTTGTGACTGCTCTGTGAAAGGTGTTATATAAATAAATACTCACTTACTTTCTTATACCATAACATATTTTTTACCAATGGAAGTGAAAGTCCAGTTCAAAGCCGTATTATTTTCAGCTACTCAGACGCTGTTTTCCATCGCGAGCTAATTGTGGCAAAATCTGTTTTTTTATCAATAAAAAAAATCGCTGTGACCTTAAATTGTGAAGGGGAAAAAAGTGCGAAAACTCTCGATAACACTTACATTATTGTGCGTTCTAAAGCTTTAGCAAATGAGAAAGGTGCTAATTACAAACACAGCAGCCCCTGAGGCGGGATGTGAACTTTGCTGCCGGATTTATCTGTTTTTAGGCTAAAAGACGCAGGTTTTGGTCAATAATCCGGGGTTTTTGGGGCCAGACATATTTTGATGCTTTTGGCTCGTCGATATCGTTTTAGCGCCTGAATGTGTTTGTATTTTTACTCTGGTTGTTTTTTTAAATATTGATTTTGACTTTCTTTTTTATCAAATTAAGAGCCCAGGTTGGGAGAAAGAAATCTATACAGAGCTGCGATGGGGTTTGTTTGACATTTTCGTTCCTTCGGGTGATGGATGTGTGAAGTCTGGGAGACCGAAGGGAGGAGGATAATATGTATATGTTTGCATTGGAGGAGTGAGGAGTATTTATTTGTATAGCGCCTTTCATAGGTCGGAGGAAACATGGAGAAAACCGGAGCACCTGGAGGAAACTGGAGCACCTGGAGGAAAACGGAGAAAACTGGAGGGAACTGGAGGAAACTGGAGAGAACCAGAGCATCTAGAGGAAACCAGAGAGCACCTGGGGGAAAACGGAGAAAACTGGAGGGAACTGGGGGAAACTGGAGAGAACCGGAGCACCTGGAAGAAACTGGAGCACCTGGAGGAATCTCAAGAGAACCTGGAGGAAACTGGAAAGCACCTGGAAGAAAATTGAGCAACTGGGGAAAAACTAGAAAGCACCTGGAGGAAACCGTAGCACCTGGAGGAAACCGTAGCACCTGGAGGAAACTGGAGCGCAGCTGGAAGAAACTGGAGAGCACCACTGGAGCACCTGGAGGAAACTGGAGCACCTGGAGGAATCTGAAGAGTAACTGGAAGTAACTGGAGAGCAACTGGTGGAAACTGGAGCACCTGGAGGAAACTGGAGAAAGTGGAGGTAAACTGGAAAGAACCTGTTTGAAATTGAAGAGCACCTGGAGGAATCCGGGGCACCAGGAGGAAACCAGAGCACCTGTAGGAAATTAGAGGGCACTCGGAGGAAACCGGAGCACCTGGAGGAAACCGGAGCACCTGGAGGACATTGGAGCATCTGGAGGAATTGAGAGAGCACCTAGAGTAAACTGGAACACCTGGAGGAAACCGAAACAGCTAGAGGAAATTAAAGGGAACCTGGAGGAAACTGGAGCACCTGGAGGAAACTGGAGCACGTGCGGGAAACCTACGCAGGCACGGGGAGAACATGCAAACTCTGCACAGAAAGGCCTGGAGTTTGAATCGAACCCTTCTCATGGTGACAAGCGCTAACCACTACACCTTGCCGCTCATCAAGACGACCAAAAAAACCCAACTTTATTTTTTGGTCTCCTTTGAAATAATCTTGGATAAACAAATGGAATTGTTTCCAGATGAGTTTTGAAAAAAAACGATCGCACCGGTCTACTCCAGCACCAGCTCACACACAAGAGCGTTTTTATCTCTCTCTTTCCACACTCAACCCCATTTGCAATATTAGCGTTGGTCTTTTTATTGCCTTTATTGATTAATTTCAGAGAAGCTGGAACCGTAAGGTGTCAGCAGAGAAATAAGACGTCGTTCATTATTAGGAATGTCTTGAGGCTCCTGTTTTAAAGTTTAAAATAATCTGGTGTTGTTTGTTGTATGATTTATTTGTGGAGCAGCGTTTTCATTTAAGCTGAAAATTACCTGGACACATAAGATGCCACTTGAGACGACACACGAGACGACACATGACACGACACGTGAGACGACACATGAGACGACACATGACACAACACATGAGAAGACAGTTGAGATGCCACATGAGACGACAGTTGAGATGCCACATGAGACGCCACATGAGACGACAGATGAGATGCCACATGAGATGCCACATGAGACGCCACATGAGACGACAGTTGAGATGCCACATGAGACGCCACATGAGACGACAGATGAGACGATAGTTGAGATGCCACATGAGATGACAGTTGAGATGCCACATGAGACGACAGTTGAGACGATAGTTGAGATGCCACATAAGACGGCAGTTGAGACGCCACATGAGACGACAGTTGAGATGCCACATAACACGACAGTTGAGATGCCACATGAGACGATAGTTGAGATGCCACATGAGATGACAGATGAGATGCCACATGAGACGACAGTTGAGATGCCACATGAGACGACAGTTGAGATGCCACATAACACGATAGTTGAGATGCCACATGAGATGACAGATGAGATGCCACATAAGTAAGTAAGTAAGTAAGTAAGTAAGCTTTATTTATATACCGCCTTTCACAGACCAGAGTCACAAAGCGGTTTACAATTGTTATTTTTGGGCATTAGTCTCTCACTCCACACAGAGATGGGAGCGGGGTCGCCGAACAGGAGGCGCATGCCAGACCTATTGTACATATTTTTAGTGGTAGGGGAAACCGGAGTACCCGGAGGAAACCTACGCAGACACGGGGAGAACATGCAAACTCCACTCAGAAAGGCCCTTGTCCGGCCGGGATTCGAACCAAGGACCTTCTTGCTGAGAGGCGAGAGTGCTATCCACTCAGCCACCGTGCCGCACATAAGACGACAGTAGAGATGCCACATGAGACAACAGTTGAGATGCCACATGAGACCACAGTTGAGATGCCACATAACACGATAGTTGAGATGCCACATGCAATGACAGATGAGATGCCACTTGAGATGATAGTTGAGATGCCACATGAGATGACAGATGAGATGCCACATGAGACGACAGTTGAGATGCCACATAAGACGACAGTTGAGATGCCACATGAGACGACAGTTGAGATGCCACATAAGACGACAGTTGAGATGACACATGATACGACAGTTGAGATGCCACATGAGACGACAGTTGAGATGCCACATGAGACGACAGTTGAGATGCCACATGAGACGATAGTTGAGATGCCACATGAGATGACAGATGAGATGCCACATGAGACGACAGTAGAGATGCCACATGAGACGACAGTTGAGATGCCACATGAGACGACAGTTGAGATGCCACATGAGACGCCACATGAGACGACGGTTGAGATGCCACATGAGATGCCACATGAGACGTCACATGAGACGACAGTTGAGATGCCACATGAGATGCCACATGAGACGACCGTTGAGATGCCACATGAGACGCCACATGAGACGACAGATGAGACGACAGTTGAGATGCCACATGAGACGACAGTTGAGATGCCACATGAGACGATAGTTGAGATGCCACATGAGATGACAGTTGAGATGCCACATGAGACGACAGTTGAGACGATAGTTGAGATGCCACATAAGACGACAGTTGAGACGCCACATGCGACGACAGTTGAGATGCCACATAACACGACAGTTGAGATGGCACATGAGACGATAGTTGAGATGCCACATGAGATGACAGATGAGATGCCACATGAGACGACAGTTGAGATGCCACGAGACGACAGTTGAGATGCCACATAACACGATAGTTGAGATGCCACATGAGATGACAGATGAGATGCCACATGAGACAACAGTAGAGATGCCACATGAGACGACAGTTGAGATGCCACATGAGACGACAGTTGAGATGCCACATAACACGATAGTTGAGATGCCACATGAGATGACAGATGAGATGCCACATCAGACGACAGTTGAGATGCCACATAAGACGACAGTTGAGATGCCACATGAGACGACAGTTGAGATGCCACATAAGACGACAGTTGAGATGCCACTGAGACGACAGTTGAGATGCCACATGAGACGACAGTTGAGATGCCACATGAGACGATAGTTGAGATGCCACATTGAGACGACAGTTGAGATGCCACATGAGACGACAGTTGAGATGCCACATGAGACGACAGTTGAGAGGCCACATGAGACGACAGTTGAGATGCCACATGAGACGATAGTTGAGATGCCACATGAGACGACAGTTGAGATGCCACATGAGATGACAGTTGAGATGCCACATGAGACGACAGCTGAGATGCCACATGAGACGACAGTTGAGATGCCACATGAGACGATAGTTGAGATGCCACATGAGATGACAGTTGAGATGCCACATGAGACGACAGTTGAGATGCCACATGAGACGACAGTTGAGACGACAGTTGAGATGCCACATGAGACGACAGTTGAGACGACAGTTGAGATGCCACATAAGACGACAGTTGAGATGACACATGATACGACAGTTGAGATGCCACATGAGACGACAGTTGAGATGCCACATGAGACGACAGTTGAGATGCCACATGAGACAATAGTTGAGATGCCACATGAGACGACAGTAGAGATGCCACATGAGACGACAGTTGAGATGCCACATGAGACAACAGTTGAGATGCCACATGAGACGACAGTTGAGATGCCACATGAGACGCCACATGAGACGACGGTTGAGATGCCACATGAGATGCCACATGAGACGTCACATGAGACGACAGTTGAGATGCCACATGAGATGCCACATGAGACGACCGTTGAGATGCCACATGAGACGCCACATGAGACGACAGATGAGACGACAGTTGAGATGCCACATGAGACGACAGTTGAGATGCCACATGAGACGATAGTTGAGATGCCACATGAGATGACAGTTGAGATGCCACATGAGACGACAGTTGAGACGATAGTTGAGATGCCACATAAGACGACAGTTGAGACGCCACATGAGACGACAGTTGAGATGCCACATAACACGACAGTTGAGATGGCACATGAGACGATAGTTGAGATGCCACATGAGATGACAGATGAGATGCCACATGAGACGACAGTTGAGATGCCACATGAGACGACAGTTGAGATGCCACATAACACGATAGTTGAGATGCCACATGAGATGACAGATGAGATGCCACATGAGACGACAGTAGAGATGCCACATGAGACGACAGTTGAGATGCCACATGAGACGACAGTTGAGATGCCACATAACACGATAGTTGAGATGCCACATGAGACGACAGATGAGATGCCACATCAGACGACAGTTGAGATGCCACATAAGACGACAGTTGAGATGCCACATGAGACGACAGTTGAGATGCCACATAAGACGACAGTTGAGATGCCACATGAGACGACAGTTGAGATGCCACATGAGACGACAGTTGAGATGCCACATGAGACGATAGTTGAGATGCCACATGAGACGACAGTTGAGATGCCACATGAGACGACAGTTGAGATGCCACATGAGACGACAGTTGAGAGGCCACATGAGACGACAGTTGAGATGCCACATGAGACGATAGTTGAGATGCCACATGAGACGACAGTTGAGATGCCACATGAGACGACAGTTGAGATGCCACATGAGACGACAGCTGAGATGCCACATGAGACGACAGTTGAGATGCCACATGAGACGATAGTTGAGATGCCACATGAGATGACAGTTGAGATGCCACATGAGACGACAGTTGAGATGCCACATGAGACGACAGTTGAGACGACAGTTGAGATGCCACATGAGACGACAGTTGAGATGCCACATAAGACGACAGTTGAGACGACAGTTGAGATGCCACATAAGACGACAGTTGAGATGCCACATAAGACGACAGTTGAGACGACACATGAGACGACAGTTGAGACAACAGTTCAGACGACAGTTGAGACGACAGTTGAGATGCCACATAAGACGACAGTTGAGACGAAAGTTGCGATGCCACACGAGACGACAGTTGAGACGACACATGGGCAATTCCTCCTCTGCATCTAAGGCTTACATCAGGAGCATTGGTCACCATAGTAACAGGGCTCGGGAACCCACCTCCAGATGTTGATGCTGGGCTCGGTCAGGAGGATTGTAGTATCCGAACTTTATACCACTAATAATAACTCTCACAGGAGTCAAAAATATAGTTTAGAGAGTACATTTATTAACTCAGATTTAACAATACAGGAGGAAAATTGATAATCGCATGGAGCCGCACGCAGGACTCTCTGATTCTGTCTGGCTCCTCTATTTTAACCTCTCGGCCAATTTCCATATATGGACTTCTAACCGGTGGCCAGACAACTGATATTTGCTTGACTTGTAGATAATCAGTTTGTCCTGTTCAGCTTGACATTGTAGATTATCATGACCCAAAAACAAGAACATCAAACATTATTCAAACTTTCCACAACAAGCTTTTACCTATTATACATGCTTTGAGTGGTAGTGCAAACCGGAGCACCTGGATGAAACCCACACAGACATGGGGAGAACATGCAGACCCCGTTCCGACCGGGGACTTTGGGGAAGTAAAAAAATCCACACCATGACAGAACGTTGTCAGGAGCAGGTTTTGTACGAGCGGTTTTTAGCGAGATGCACATTTATTCCTGTCAACGCTTTTTTTTAATGATCAGTTTTGTCTCGTCTTAAACTCGAGCTAATTGGCGAATTCATCTGGTTGTCGCCCTGTTATTCTTATGTCACACAACGAGCCTAATCCTGCCGCACGTCTGTGGTTTACTGACGGATGGAGATGGCTCAATGAACCGGACACGCTGCTATATTTTCCACCATCACTTCTTGTTTGTCCGGATATCTGTCTCTTTTAAAAACTCCAGTGAGAAACTTGTCTGAAGCTGCTCGGGAGACATATGCAGATCCGCGGCACACCAGGTGCTCACCGCCGCCATGTTTGCCTGTTTAGTTTTCAGACATGTAGAGCTTGTTTAGACACGGCTCTAAATTGGTTCTGGGACGTTGTTTGCTCCTCCCACCTGCAGGAGGCTGTAAGTGCCAGGTCATATCAGCACGGACCAAATCTGTGGATCTGAAACCGCGGCGAGGGGCGCACTCCACAAACAGAGATAGAGGATTTGATTATGGACAGAGCCGTTATGGATGTACGCTGTGTTGTTTGGAGAGGATAATAGGATTTGCGATAACCATAATACCATCGGAGGAGCTCACATGGTTAAATATTGATCCATGGTAAAGCATAAGGAGGACGCATTTATTACTATGAAGGTTCATTACTGGACATACGGATTGTTTTGGACATTTCGGCACAAACCTGAGAAGCATTTTTGGTGCTGTGAATATTTTTTGTTTTCTTGAGCTACTTTAAAGTTTAGGCAAGGAAAGGCAAGTTTATTTGTATTGCACAGTTCATACACAAGTGAACTCAACAAACAATCACAAATAATAAGGGTTAAGGTAAAATCCATCGGTTGTAGCACAGAAAAACCAAACTATTTTAAACCTGGATTTTGACGTTGTCAGAGAAGAAGTCTGTCTCACATTTTTAGGAAGACTGTTCCAGATGTTAGGTGCATAATCCTGAAAGGCTTCCTCTTTATTTTGTTGGACCAGGAGGAGATCGGTCCTTGTGCTCACCAGAGTCCCAGCAGGAGGCCAGTCCCTGTGCTCCTCAGAATCCCAGCAGGAGGCCAGTCCCTGTGCTCCTCAGAGTAACCAGCAGGAGGCCAGTCCCTCTGCTCCTCAGAGTCCCAGCAGGAAGCCAGTCCCTGTGCTCCTCAGAGTCCCAGCAGGAGGCCAGTCCCTGTGCTCCTCAGAGTCCCAGCAGGAGGCCAGTCCCTGTGCTCCTCAGAGTCCAAGTTGGATCAAATGGCACTAACATGTCACAGATATACTTTGGTGCATAATATTATTTATCATGTGTAATAGTACCGGTAATCTTAAAAGCTAAACTACACAGAGCAGGAGTCTCCAACCTGTGGCTCGGGAGCTCCCAGTAGCTCGCCAGCCTCTTTCAGGTAGCTCACCAAAGGATTTTTAATATAACAAATGATCTTCAATGAATACATTTTGAGCCATCACACATCTATCATAAGTATAGATATAGGTTTATACAGAATCATGGTATGTTTTACATTTGTTTCCCATTGTTGTCGTAATTATTAGATCGATTTTTATTACAACTGCAAAAAGGAGTAGCTCTCTGCCTCTTCTGTTGCATAATAGTAGCTCTCCTATTGAAAAAGGTTGGCGACCCCTGAAATAGATAATTCAAAGGATGCAAATAAATTCATGTGAAAACTTTCCAAACCTCACGCACACAATGACAAATGAGAGAACGATGGATTCATGAATTAACACGAGACAATTTGGCTTTACTAAAAATGAACTAAGCAGAGCAATGAAAGTAAATCCTGTTCTATACGTCGTCATAGGCAACCACACAAGTTCAAGGGGATAGAGGTTTTTGCTAGCACTTATTCTTTAGTTGTTGACGAGGGCTGACTTTGCAGAGATCTCTAAAGGTGCGAATAACAGCTTCTTCCCCAAAGCTCTGTGAAGTAGAGACAAGTTCAGGAAACCAGAGGCTGTATGCCCAGGTCTCCACACGTCAGCTCCATCCATAACCCCTTTTAATCACTTTGTTGTCCTCCGCGGAACAACTGTGTCTGAGTCTTTTAGAAGTGCGCCAGGGAAAAATCCACAAAACGACTTAGCAGAGAAAAAAAGCCCACCGGAGGATTTCGTGGGTTATTTTTTTCATGTTTTTTACGGTTGAGAGGAAAGTTTAGCAGGTCAAAGAAACACAACGCAGGCAAACGGCGCAGGAGGCTCATCTGCAGTTTGTGAGTGTGATTGCTTCTCTTGTGTTGCCCCTGGCCCATGCTTATCAAAGAGCTTCTTTCATAAGTGGCAGGATCGAGCCACCGCTGCCTCTGCCTGCGCCCACCGAGCCACTGCCGAGCCACCGCCGAGCCACTGCCGAGCCACAACCGAGCAGGGTGGAAAGAGGAAAGGGGACATGGCACATTCAGAAAGGAGGAAAAGCCGGGGATAGGAGATTTACATGGGGCCTTTGAGTATTCTTGGTCTTCCTGCATTGATTTGATTATATGAGCACAAGATAAGGGTCGAGTTACTGTATTTTGCCTAGAATGTTCTACAGCAGGCGTCTCCAACCTTTTTCACCCAGAGAGCTACTTTCCCGGGACGATAAAGGCAGAGAGCTACTCCCTGACTGTGCAGCACTTTGCAAACACAAAGTGCTATACAAATACAGCTATATCCAAATGATTACTATCACACAAATACGAATACGAAAACTTTAATGTCCACCAAGGTTGAAAATTGTCTTTAGTTGTCACCTTAAAATACATAAAAAACACACGTCCAGCTAAATATCATGTGGCACTACATTCACAGAACGATTGGACTCCAAGAGTTCGAACAATTGGGAACAGAATCCCAAACAAGGCCTCATCAGCCAAAAGACAAGAGCCAACCTAAGGACTTCTCAAAGGTTAAGAGTGTTTGCCGCTTTCACTGCTCTGGGCACAAAGGAGTTTCTAAGATAAGATAAGATAAGATAAGCTTTATTTATCTCACATAGGAGAAATTTACATAAAAATGTGTTTTTCTCTTGGCTGATGATATTTCCGTCCTGACCTGTTCAAACTTGCCGTCAACGCTCCTCAAACAAACAGACTGGTCCAGGATTATTATTATTATTATTTTCATTATTATTATTATTTTTATTATTATTATGGCATTACATTTCCCATTGATGCTGGAGACAAGCAGGTGATTCGCGTTCACTCGCCTAAGACATGGATCAATTCTGTGACAAGGTGAAATGACCCAAGACCATAGATTTTTGCTTGAATTCATACTGAGAGAGATTCTAAGAAAATACATAATAATACTGCCTCTTGCATTTGTTAGGACTCTTATTTTCCTTTGTTATACCATTGTTGGTAATTGTTGTTATTATGCAACTCTAATGCGTTGCTATGGTAACTCCACAATGCGAATACTCAAACTGTTACTGTCTGGGTTAATACAGTGCAGACATTTATATGAAATCTGTGGAAAGTATTTGATAGCCGTGTGTTACTGTGAAGCTGATGTTTGTTTAATATGGATCAAGACTCTGTAAGAATAAAGAAATATTATTTGACGAAGCAGTCCTCATCCAAGTATTAATGGCCCAATATATATATATATATATTTTTAACGTTGATTCACAAAAAGAAAATGGTCAAAAGGCTCTGGACATATTTCACTTTAAACATGAAACATAAGATTCCTCCATGAAGGGAACTTGCAGGCAGTGTGGCCTTGTTTATACCTGATAAGAAGGGGGTAACAGAGGCAGAGGAGAGGCCATCCGAGCCTGGGGAGAGGTGCTTTTGCGTTTATATACAGCCAGTGTGGAGGAAATTAATATGTATTTGCTTTAAGCCGCTCTGCACCACTGATTTCCCGCTGACATGGACTTTAATGCTCCGAGAGAGAATCCAGGTGAGGGCCGGAGCTGTGAAGGACACGGAGAGAGGGGTGGACTCAAGTACCCCCAGAGCCACTTCCATCTCCCCACACTCACTTTGCTCTGATGCAGTTTGTGCAGTAATTCTATGACTTATCGGGCTTTATGGTCATAGACTTTCATGGGCCGTTAACTTAATGGCACTAACACATGTTGCAAATTATGTTTCAGGTCTAGTGTTAAACCGTTTATGAGATCGGGACCAGCAGAGTTTAGGGTTTCTTTATGAGGCCGTTTGCGTACAGCGCTTTTGAGACCCACTCCTTCAATAGACCCAACATATACCACATTATAACCAGAAGAGCCGGCGACGAGAACAGTCAAAACTTTAAAGGGGAGATACCCATTTCTGTGCTCTATAAAACTGTATGATAAAACATAAGATAAGATTAGATAGAGTTTAATGATCTCACACTGGAGAAACGTACATGTCACATTTGGTATTTATAGAATTACTCAGATTGTGCAGAAGACAGAA